CTCCATAAATAAGTGATTTCATGGTCTCAGATTTCTAACTGGTTGTAAAGTGCTGCACTATAAAGGCCCTAGTTATGAAGAAGTCTTTCCTCCCCATTTTTGCAAAACAATTTTCTGTGTATCTTGTCAAAGTGGGATTGGAGGGGAACAGGATGGGACGCCCTGTAACAGGAGGGAGAATATAGTTTTGAGAGTTACTCACCTTTTTTGTTTGTTCTGAAGATCTTGACTGTTCTTGGGTATTTCCTTACCTTTATTATTTACTTAAACAGCAAGTTTTAGTGCTGGACTGAGCTGATGCTCATTTGAAACTTCCAGTGCATCAGGCCCGTGGATGGGATCTGCTGTTGGACCTTGAAGCTGTTGCTGTCACTGTCCCCAGAGAAAAGTGAACCAAGCTTGATAGATTTTCTTGATCCTAATGGCAGCTGTCTTTCTAGCTGGGAAGAAATCTTCTCTGTTGGGACAAGTCCCTGACCTATTTTAGAGTCTTGTCTCTACAGAGTGGTTGCTATTTTCTTGGAACAAGAAGACATCTTCCAGGAGCTCTGTCTTAATTTTATTTCAGTCATTTAGTTCTTTTAATTGTAAAACAACAGAATCTGAAGGAGCAGAGCCTGAAGCTCTCTATTTTGTATTTGTGTGTAAGGAATGGCAGAGGAAAATAATAGTCTTCTTTTTGTCATCAGATTAAGTAATTGAAAAACTTCCAGCTGCTATAGTAACAGCAACACATTTGCCAGATGTCAACAAGCACATTTTAATCCTTCTATTTTAAGTTCCAAGCTATTGAAGAAAAGTACATCTAGGTGTGGCAGTCTTAATAACTGCTTCAGCCCATAGCTACTTGGGTAGCCTAGGAAAGAGCTGTGTAGGATCGCTGTTGGAGGGACTGTTGATTAAATTTATAGAAAAAGCTTTTCCCAGATGTTCTTATGGGGCAGGAGCCCATCCTGAAGATTTGTGTTTCTCTCCGAGACACTTTTATGATGTCCTGTTGGGTATACGGCGCGTGCTCTTCTGTGTGTTAGATTGATTGGAGGTACTGTGACATTTTTCTTGGAAGGTGTAAGAGCCAAAAAAAAGCAGAATGAAAAAGTTTTGGAGACTGGGCTTTCTGCCTAATACTAATTCCGCGTGGCTGCGCCGGTCCATACGGCCAGAATGCTTTACTGGGGAGCGGGAGTGAGGTGTCCGCAGAACTGCCCTGTCCCATGTTGACACCAACTGTAAATGAGTTTAAGCTGAAGTGATAGATGTAGGGTGGAAGAGACTGTTTTTCTAGTTAAACATTTTAAACTGTCAGAAGAGGTGAAAAATGCATTGTACTCTTTCCTGTGGCCTTTTCCTCCAAAGAGTCTGTCATGCAAGAAAGGGAGGGAAAATGTGCCCGGCATGGATCAAGCCCTTAGCTTTTCCATGTTCGTTTGTTTTTATTGTAAGATAAACCTTTCATGTTTTATTGTTATGAAGTTAAAGCCTGGCCTAGAGGTGCTGATCTTTAGTAGAAACAGCTGCAGACTGAGTGTCCCCTGGTCAGGTGGGAGGCTCTTTGAAGCAACATGTTGCCTCTTTAAAAGGAAATTGAGCATGTGAGAACTTAAACCTGTAAAACTCATCAACGACTCTGCCATTGTTTATCTCTGGTGTAACTTTATATAGAATTAAAGTGAAACGTGTTACTTTGCTCCCAAGACAAGATGGTTTAGCTCCCCCTTGGTCCTGGAGACGCAGGAAATGACCACATAACCACAAATACTTTCTAGTGGAATGAAGATGAGTGACAGACTATCCACAGAAATAGGTTCTTAACCAGATGGGCAAAGAAATTATATGTAGCTAAAGCTTCTGGTTCTAAGTTAATACCAGTGCTTAAATGTTAAAACAGAGTAGAAAAGAGCAAATGGTGTATATGCACGGGCTCACATGAGGGGGCAGATCTGAACATTTCTTGTGGATTGGGTGTTGAGACCGGCATCAGTTTTCAGCATTGACTGGTCTTTTGCTCAGTAAGAGAATGACTGGACCTAACTGCCTTTGGGATGAGGGAAGCTAAGGTACTTTTTTGGCTTCGTTTGTCAAGTTGCCTTGTACAGAAACCAAAAACCTACTAGCTGTCAGATCTCCTCCTGTACTTCTCTAGCATTTTCATTATGTAAAGCAAGGCCCTAGATATCTTTTTAAACTAATCAGCCACTGTGCTCCCCTTTCTGCTGGAACAGGGTGTAGTGAGGGCCTCTAAAATTGCATGAAAACTGTATTTTCATGAAAAAGAAGAATCCCTTCAGGTTTACTGCTTCAGAAAACAGCTTTCTTAGGAAAGACTTAGGAAGGAATGGTCTTTCTGAGTCAGTCATGCTGGACCACATCTGCTTAACAGTGATGTTGAGTATTAGTGTGGGGGAAGACCTCGGTTTTGTTTTAGGCTTAGACTGAATTGCAATTGGCAGGAATAATTAATTTTTCACCTTTAAGTATATCCTGTAGCTTCCTCTGTGGCCAATGGGAAGCAGCATTGATGGCATCTGTGCAGAGCCCTTAGAAATGGGGCTGTAATGTGAGAGAGCATCTGAAGGAGGTGAAGACAATACAAGATAACAATGATTTTTGGAAGTAAATGGAAAGAAACTGTATTAATGATAGCTGCTTCCTTAGTGCAAACTTTTCTTATGACAAGAAAGTAAGCGGCTTACCACCACGCTGGTAAGAATGTGTGTTTGACTGGTAACGTGGAAAATGTGGTGACATTAGAAACTGCCCAGGCTCTGCATTGAGATGATGCAGAATTTGTCATCCTGTAAATCATTTCTCATTGATTAGCTAAACTGTTTGGATTGGCAGAGGGGATCTTTTCTTGGAGAGGAAGCATAGGACCAGTATCACTCACTGCATGACAGGCCTTCTGAACTGGACGGTTCAAACAACGCCTAGTGCTGTCTGACCGGAGAGTAATTACGTCCAGCAAGGCCTTTTCAGACCTACAGTACAAACAGCCCAAAACACAAAGGCAGCATAACTACGTATTGGAGGAAAAGATTGGCAGAGGGAGTCAGGTCAGAGGGCCAAACAGTTGTCCCCTGGATGAATTCTTGAAGATAGTAATTATCCTTAATAGCATAAACACTCTGCGAGAGCCAACACCAGCTGTATTATCGCAAAGGTACAGAAGGAAGGCCCTGCTTGGGGAGGGGGAGCGGAGGCATTAGCGTGGATGAACTGCTGCTCTTAGCAATGCCTGATGTCTCTTCTAGTCTACATAGAAGTGCCGATCAGTGACACAGTGTGAGTAGTTAGCTGTTTATATGAGATGCTCCAAGTAGTGTATCTCTTGCTGTCTGAAACGCAGAAAAAAGCCTGAAGCTCTGACCAGACATCTGAGGAACTGAGACTTTCCCTGAGCTGTGCAAATGATTAGAGTGAAAACCTGACCTTCTGCAAAATCCTCGGTTTCTAAAATGTCTGGGGGAGTTATGTCAGGACCACTTGGCAGGCGGTCAAAGTTCTTCCCTGCAGTTGCATGTTTTGTAAGCCTACTCCAAAGTTGTAATGACCTGGTAAAGTAGTTACCTCTGTCGAAACTGAAAATCTGTAGTCAAATGAACAGAGTTTTCAAAAGCAACTCTTGATTTCCAGCTTTCAGTAAATACAGATAGTCAGGTCCTAGCAGGAGAGTAAACATAAGGGGGATTGCTCAGATCATCTGTTTGGCCATCTCCGCTCTAATATTCAAGATTTTTTTAAATCAATTAAAAATATGGGTTACTTAGTTAATTTAGTAGGTAGTGCAGTAAGTATTGTTTTAATAATCTGTGCTTCAACAGAAGCTACCATTGATATACTTTTTGCAAGGAAAAAGGTTTAAAAAGCAGAAGGAAACTTAAAAAAAAAAAAGAAAATGTAACATACTCCTATACGCCAAGAGGGTATAGGATTCTTTGGCATTGTTCTGGACTCAACCCACTTAGTAATGTGTTCAGCAGGAGCTTAAATAAGGATCACATGCTTTTAGTAATATTTTTTTTTAAAAAAAAAGTATGTAGTTTAATTAGTCAAACTCGTTATACTTAAGTTAGATTCCTTATATTGAAAGGAGATAATTGAAACCCGTAACAGGATGTGTTTGCTTGGATGTGTTTGCTGCAAAATAAACCTGAGACTGTGTTTTTCTGCAAAATAAACCTGAGACTGTGTTTTTCTAATAAGCGTATGCATGACTGATTTTTTTTTTTTCCTGTTTTTAAAACTTTTGTATTTCTGCATCTTATCTAAGGTAGAATTTAGCCAGAGCTCAAACTTTTCACTGTTATATTTATTGGGTTGTGAGAGGACTTTTGCAGACTTGCCTGACTTCTTGCAAAAAAAATCATAAGCGCACCTTCCAAGGAAAGCAAAATTTATTTTTAAATATGTCAGCTGAATTTTTTAATGGTGCTGAATAATTTTTTTTCAACTGCTGCAGTTATTTCTATATATAGTGTAAGGATGTGAAAAGTCATTCATTCCTAATGTGTTTAAATATGCTCCATAATGAATGTTGTGGATGTGAAAGATAAGCAGCCTGGAGCTTTCTTTTGCAAGGTATAGGGTAACACAAAGCATCAAAGTTTTGCTGCCCTCAGGACACACATTGAAGTAGTTAAAGTAGTGAGATAAACGAAATACAATAAGATATTCATCTGCAAAATCTAAAGCTCAAGGACACAATAAGCTTTCATTTAAGTGTTTCTCATTTGCTGACAATGAGCCAAATAAATCTTAATTCCACATTGTAGATGGTGACAGAAATTCAGTAACTTTCTCTGGGATGAGAGTCTGGTTTGTTTCTCAAATCTTTCTGATAATGTACTTGTATATGTTGGGATTCTAATATGAATTAGCTATTTACAGTTACTTAAGAAAACAGGATTTTATTTTTTTTTCAGAATTGCTATTTAAGAATGTTTTGGGGCTGAAATAACATGTAGTCTGTGAGTCCTCACTCACTGCATTTCTTCTTACAGGTGCTGGATTCGGATTAGGAATTGTTTTCTCAGTCATCTTCTTCAAAAGTAAGTATACAGCAGTAATCTTGACTGCCTAATTTCTGTCTGTTGTAGATGCAGTTTAAAAACCAAGAAATCTGAGGCATGTAAAACTTAATCAGCATGTTAGACCAATTATTTCACTATTGGTCATGTCTTTTCAGTTGAAATGGAGTTACCTAAAGTTTTAACTGTTGTGTAACAAGGTTGTTATACGCGGCATCTCTCTAAGCTCCTACTGTGCTCAGCTCAAATTCTGGAATTGCAGGAAACCCTGAGCCAAATTACTGGAGCCATGTGTCTAGACATCAGTTTATGCCAGTCTTGCCAGGGTTTTAAAACTGATCTAAATTCTTTTTTAGTTATACTTTGGTAACAGAATAATTTTCAGTAATCTCTTGAGCTCAGAGATTGGTCTCTATTAAATTCTAAATATGATGTCTTACTCACTGTTACTCTTGTTTTTCTTCTGAATTGGTCTGTTTTTTCAGCCAATTTTAGGACTTGTAGAACTTGAAAATACCTAATATGCATCTTCCAGTAATTTCTTTCTTGGTGCTTATTTAACAATACTGTCACTGTCATGTGAAATGAACAGCTTTTCTTGACTTTAACTTTTCTCTTCTGCTTGCCTTCCCCCACAGGAAAGACATGGCCTATCGCTTTTGGGTCAGGGATGGGGTTAGGAATGGCTTATTCCAATTGTCAACATGACTTCCAGTCTCCATATCTTCTCCATGGTAAATTTGTAAAAGTAAGTATCAGTACTTGTTACTAGTAATTGGTAACTGTTTGCAAGTTAGCCTTAAACAGTAGATCTAGACACCATCTAAATAGATTTTCCTCTGCCTTTCCCTCAAAAATTACTAAGAAGAAGAAACTTGGGTTGCCTAAGCAGGGGTGGTTTCCCTGCTCTGTAGAAATTTGTAGTATTTGGTGTGTTTAGCAGTAAACTTACTAGACTGAATGCATTGAATTAGTTTAACAGATCCTGCAGGTAGGTTTCCATTCAACCTGAAAGCAAGTATAATAAAAATACATGTTAGAAAAGCTGAAAAAATTAAACTATTGGTGAGATTCTGCCTTCAGACTTTGGAAGAAACTGAAAGTCACGTCAGGTAGATCTGCCTGTGGAAGCAATTCTTTGATCTGTGCGTTGTTTTTTTTCTTTTTTTTTTCAACATGAAAACACTAATTACTTGTAAGTTTTGTGGCTTGTTTGGCTGGATAGCAATGTAATAATTAGTCTGAAAATGTTGCACACTTCAGTTTTGAAGAGGATAATTTAAATGAGTTCAGTATTATCACTGACCATGCTGAGAAAATATTTAAAATAGATTAATTAGCAGGAACCATTTGGGCACTTGCAAACTGCATACACTGCACTAAGTCCCCACTTCATTAATATTTTATTTCTTCACATGTAAAAGTTGAGACTGCTCTTATGGTAATTTATCATTGTGGCATCTGGAAAAAAAAAAAAAAAGGCTGTGCATGCATATTTTGTATCCACAAAGCCATATACTGGTAAAAGCCTTTCACTGATACTGGTGGAGACATACCTACCAGGACATATTTACAGTTATTTTAGCCCTTTAGACAGTATTGAGGTAAAATGTGCTGCAGGTACACAGAGTGCATGTACGTGGCAAGTACACAGAATGCAAAAATTGCTCCTGACTTGCTCATCTGCCTGAAGAATGAGGCCTGAAGGTGTTTTTAGGCTTTTTCCTGATGCATCTAGAGCTCTAAGCTGAGTCCAGTCCTCCTTAGATTTACTGGCAGATGAGCTTTTGCAGCCCTTCCAGACATACCTGTTTACAAATATTTTCATCAGCTGCCTGTTAGGAAGGGGAAACAATAACAAGATTCTTAAATAATTTCTTCAGATAAAATATTTTGGATAGCAACACAGAGAAACTGTGACTTAGATGAAGCTGATACGACATTGCCAGCTACAGCCCAGAATCAAAAGCCCATGCGCGACTCTTCTGGCCAGATTTGTTAACATCAAAATGTGTTAGCTTTGCACACTGTCCTGAGGGTATTCCTCCAATTTATGTCTCCAAAAAGAAACTGGAATGCCACGTCTGTGTCTTCATGTGAATGGTAAATGCCCCGTTCACATGTTCTGAGAAAGTATTATTCATTCAAGGATGCTTGTTACTAGGGATGTTGGGCAACAGAAAACTTTCAGGTCAGCCTAGTAAGGGATTTTGTTTGGATTAAGGGCTAATCTGTGCTCTGGAGCAAGGGTGGTCCTTCGAAGCATGAGGTAATTGAAAGGACACTTCACAGAAGAAGCGCAGCTGCCTGCATGGCGCAGGACTAGACAAATAGTTTCCAGTGCACTGTCTCCACTGGCTCTCTCTGGCACAAAGAGGCTGAACATGTTGAGAGAGGGAAGACGCCGATGAAGCCATCTAATGGTTAATGTCATTAATTCTCTCCAAACTGTCGTGTCATGGATAATGGCTCCAGGGTTATTACAACAAAATTATTTCATTTCTGTTGGTTAGGAGCATGGAAAATATTGTTGCATTATCACTCATCTGTGTTTTTCCTAGAAAATACTGTTGTAACTTAATTCTATAGGACTTCCTTTACAAAACAGAGTTTCTGTTCAGATGCTAACCTGTCAAAATGTGAGATTCTGCAAGAAAATCGGCTTTAAGAGCCAGAGAAATGTAACACGGATTAGCTTGAATGAAATTATTTCTAGTTTTCCGAACCTGTCAAGTTCATAGGATCGCAGGATAACTGAAGTGGGAAAGGACTTTGAGGAGGTCATCTAGTCTGACCTCAAACTGGGGTCAGCTGTGAGGTCAGACCAGGTTACTTGGGGCTTTATCCAGTCTGGATGCTTGATTCTTCAGGATCAAGTTCTTAAATCTGAATCCTAAGTGAGAGTGAGAGAGGATGGAGGACCTTCATGATACCAAATAATCAGGAGATTACAAAGCAACTTTGCAGCTGTTCTAGCTGCCTATCCTTTGGGTTAGTAATTTGATCATGAAACACTAACGCAAATGCAAGAGCCACTCATCTAGGCCAAAAGACCACTTAAAATGCAGAAAAGCTCTAATTTGTGGGCATAAGATTCTGATGGTTTAAGACTTGATCAAGTGGATGTCAGTGTGACTTCACCTGAATTTAAAATCAACATCTAGCAATTATTTCAAGGCTTAAAACGGCATGGCTGAGGGATTACATGGCCTAGGTTTCCTTGCAAAACGGAAAGTATCATATTTTTCAGGTTATTTAGCCTGTATTATTTATCACCCCCAAACCCACAACCCTGTACTTTGATAGCAATGTGGATTATATTTATGTGCAAGAACACAAGAAGTCTGGCAACTGGCACCTTTCCTCCTGCCCTGTGTGCCTTTGTTTTGTATCTGATTTCTGTTCAATCTGCCAGTAGTTAACCTGACAGTAGTGTTGGGTTTTCTTGAAGTACTCGTTTTATCAGAATGGAGGGTTATGTGCATAAAACATGTCATGCTTCTGCTTCTGCATACTCAACTTCTCGGTGTAGCAAAGGATGAAAATGTCAGCCTACCTTCTGGAAATGTTACAAAGCTAAGTGGCTTGCTTTACATCGTGCAGCACCTTCCATGTAAGGAACCCAAATGGCTTTTTAATAATATAAGCCTTCTTGCTTTACAGGAACAGTGACTAATGACTAAGACTATCCCAGTGGGAAGGAAGGAGAAATCAATGATTATTCCTCAGGAATACTGAAGTGCCCCTGGAATAAGCCAACATTCTTCAGTAACGATCACCAGTAACTCTTTATACTCCAACAAACTGTTTCTGTACATGAAACAAGGGTCTGTTGCTTGTTTTGTATCATGTCTGGAAAGTGCAAGGAAGAGCTCTTCTGGGAAATAAATAAAAGAAAAATGGCCTCCTCTGGTGTGTTGACTTTGTATGTGAGTGAGAGAGAGAGAGAATGGAAGGAGAGGACTTCATTTTGAGTACCTAGCAGCTGTGACCACCTGGGTAAAAGCCACTGAGAGCGCTCTTCAGAAAAGACAGCCGTCGTATGTTCCTCTCCACTCTGGAACAGCAACCCCCATCTAATGTACAGTTCAAAGAAGCATTCCCACCTCATAAATCACCCACTCGACCCCTGCTGCTTGTGCCGGTGTTTGGAGAGGAATATAAATACTCCTATGTCCTGTTTGTACAGTTGCCCTTTAAAATTGGAACTCTTGTCCTCTCCGAAGAGGCAGAATCCAAAAGGGCACAGCCTAACCCTGTGTCTGATGCAGTTAGCCAGTGCTGTCTCTTGCAGCTTTGTGAGTCATGGAGTGACCCAAGTTTGAAACTTCCCAGGATAGTGGGCGAATTAAACAGACGCACATGCCATCTGGCTTTGAGCTTACCTTTTAGGTTGATGTTTTATTCACCCCTCTTCTGTGGGAGAACAGATAGGTTTCAGTGTCTGGGAAGGGGTCACAAATATTTAAAGCTCTTTATTACCTTGGCAAGTCACTGGTCCAAGTACTTCCTTCTACTTTACATTTACCCCAGTCCTTGTAATTACTTGTTGGCATGTTGTCTGCTGCTCTTCTGACTCAAGAGGTTGTCTTCACTGCTGCTTTACTCAGCACAATTTTCTAGCTATTGAGATGGCTCTCAAAGACCTCTTGTCTTTGTCCTGTGCTTGCTGCATATTGTCTGTGTAGCACAAGATGTAAATGCACATCTCCTGAGACAGGGAAGGGCATAGATTGACATGGAGCTTTCCTTTATTGGAGGCCTGTTCTACTGCATGGTGAGTGCTGGCAGATGGAAGAATGACAAAAAAATTCCTCTCCAGAAAGGAAAACACAATGGAAAACAAGTTGTGCAATATTTGTTTTTTAAACCATGCCAAGAAAGGAAAGGGATGGACTGAGGGGCAGTCGTCACAGAGCTTGAGAAACTCCTTACCTTACTGAGCAGTGGGACTGAGACTTGGTCTGGGTGCTACAGCAGTCCTGCACACCCACGTCCCCCAGGGCACTTGTGTGTGGATCTTGCACACTGAAGAAACATGTTGAGCTGTGCCCAGAGTCAACAGAAGCTGAAGAGCTCGCCTAGAGCAATGGACTTGTGAAATAAAATAGCTTTAATGCCAGAGCAGTATTAAAGACTGTCAAAGCATGATACCATCCAGGACCATTGCTTGAGCATGTCCTTGTTTTTCCACCTCCTCCCTTGCCGGACTGCATTCATCAGTCAGGTCAAAACAGCTTATTGGAAACAGGATCTCTTTCTTTCTTCCCAATTTCAAATCATTTTATCTGGCCCCAATTTTTAATTTGAACTGTGTACTTTGGAGCCATAGCTCTTCTGTGGTTTGGAAAGTGTTTTTATTGAGTTCTCTGTGTGTGCTGCGATGCTAGCAGTCTGTAAGCCCGTGGGTTCAGCTGGAGAGGAGGGCACCAACCTGGGTGAGAAACCAGAACCAAAAGCAGTAGCAGTGCTCTGAATAGAACGATGATCAACGTGCAGACAAAGCTTTAGCTCACACTGTGTCATTTGGGCCATGATGATGGGTTCCATTTTTCTTTAGTGTCCCTGGTAATGAGTTGTCCTGGCCTGTTGCGCTCTGCCTTAGTTCAAATACGGCTTCCTAGGGTTAATTCTTACTTAATAGGATCTGCTGTGACCCGTGATCAAGTGGTGGTGCTGGCCCTGGAACTCCGGAGGGTACCATTGTAGATACCAATTCACAACGTGTCCTTTATTGCTAGAGTGAGAATAATCAGAACAAATGTTCGTTAATATGAAATCCACTAGGGTGAGTGTGGAAAAACGCACAATTTTAAAAGTGGCATTTAAAATTTGTCATTGCTTTTTAAATGGGGTAAGAACTAAATTTTTTTTGGTTTTCGCAGCTGCCTTGCTTCTTGTTTCTGTTGAGAGATACGTATATGCATATATAACTAGCTCATAATGGGCCTGTATTTGTTTTGGTTTAATTAAAGTTGTATTATTCAAAACCTGGGTTTGAACCTGTCCATGTAAGCTGTGCAAAATGTCTCCTTGTGAGGACAAGTCTACTGTTTGCCGCTAGGAGAATGAGACCATACTGTTCCCAACTGAGGTTGGAATAGGAACGGTTTCCTGCTGCTTGATTTCTAATTACATAAATGGAAGGGGGGAAAAGTGGAAATTCTAAGTACCAAAAGGCATGTTAAATTTAGTATAATACACTCATCTGGAAACTATCACATTTTTCCTTCTTTCTTAAGCCTGCTGAAATCATTGCTTCAGCTAACTGTAGCGTGATTTGGATCAGTACCAAAAAGTGCAAACAAGATAGGCCCAGAAAAGTCAGGTGTCCTTACCCAAAACTTACTGAGACCTTTGAATGGAGAAGTTACTGCAGCAACCCAATGCAATTTTAATAGGAAATGGTGAGTACACAGTGAGTAAAGAAACCATACCACTATCTAGGAGAAAAAAAAAAAAAAAGCTGCTGAATAGAACTGGTTTTGAACGTTTAACAGCTCCTTAAGTGCTTGACTGGCCACAAATCTGACTCTTAACAGCTTGATTAGATGTCTGCTGAGGCTTTGAGATGAATAAACAAGTCACGGAAAAGCAGAGACTGCAGGGAAAAAAAATATCAAGCTGCTTTTCTATTGTTTATGAGAGTTCGTCATGTTTGATCAAGATACCATCATTTCTTTGTATTTCACTCGTGCCTAGGAGCCTCAGCCAAGATCAGGACCTTGCTGTATGTGGTGCTGTGCACACAAATAAAAATCAGTCTGCCCTGGAGAATGTACAAACTAAATAGATGGGATTAAGGGAGGTTAGAAAGGTTTATAATGCCCGTTTTAAAGATTGGAGAAGCTGTAGGCAAGGTCAGTGATAAGTCTTGGAGGTTGTGACATCCAGCTGGGACTCCAGTTGGAGTCTTGAGCCATGGAGTCAATCAGCCGACCCTTCTGAGGGGCTTTTTTACTTGGCAGGTCATGGAGTCTCAGGGGAAGGCTGCCCGCTTCATAGTCTGGGAGACTCCAAAAGGCAACGTTTTGCAACCGTTTGCTAGCCTCAAATTGCCCCAAATTCTGAATGGCAAATCTGATAAGTTAGAAATTCTGGTTTATTGTCCAGCAGGTGAGTGCTTACAGAATCACTGATGGTTATAAAACACTGAGATCCTCAACACTGACTTTGGTATAAATCCGAATCTGGTAAGGAGAGAAAATATTGCAGTGCATTACCAGTTCTTTGCATCTCGTGGAATAGGACACCTCTGTGTCAGGCCTAACATAAGTGTAATACCAGAGGACAGTCACTGCTTTAGTCGATCTACCTTAAATATGAACTTAGGTAGCAGATCGAGATAGAGGGAGGATATCAAGGAGACAGTATCATTCCAGCAGTGGAAACACAGCAGTGATGATGTAACTCAACTCCTCCAGAGGGTTCACACGGGTGATCCTCCAAAGGAGAAGGAATTAGTTTTCCAGATATTTTTATTGGGTTCCCTCCGAGTTTTTGAAGCAGTGCAAAAGAAATCACAAAGGTGCTTGTTTGCAAATGCAAGCAGTGGGTGCATGAGTGGCCTAAAGGAGGCTGTGGTGGTTGGGGTGGTGATCTACCGCGAGGTTCAGCTCTTATGCTTTAGTGGCACGTGGGGAACACGTATCAGTGACCTGCGAGGAAAACCCCATTTTTCAGCAGTGTCCTGAATCGGCGAGGCATTGCTGAGCCTTCCTTTTGTTCCGAGTTTGCTGAGTTTTGTTGCTTTAACCCCCTACCACACACATCCTGACAGTAAGAAATAAACTTTTCCCTCATCTCCCACACCACCCTTGCCTTTGTAAATGGGACTGGTGCAAATTCTGGCACGCCAGCTCCAGTAGGCAGCTGCATGCAATGCGTACCGTGTCTTAACTGCTCTGAGGTCCGGCCTGTAGCCCACCCACAGTGAAATGCTTAACTGAGATGGAAGCTAAATGGGAACACAGTTTATGGAAATTCAGCTGTGGATCGCTGTTTCTCTTGTGACTTCTGGCTGTCAGCACTTAGCTGTACACCACTGCTAGCTGTTTAGAGCTGGATGTTCCTCCTGGTGGTGGATACCCACCTCCTGTAGCTTATAAAGATGCTGAGAAAGTTGTTGGTGGCTAATAAATCACTCCTCATCTATAGTCTTTATTGGTAGTGCTTGTAAAGACTCCAGCTCTGGGTTAGGAGTGTATGCCCCTTCCTAGAAAAGGTCATGCCCTTATCCGTTCAAATTCAGTTCATAAATCTCCTGTTGTATGAAGGAGTGTGCTTCTATTTAGAAGTTTTAGAGGGTATTCTTCCTTGAAGAGGAAGCCGCATTTGAAGTTGTTAGTAGCGACTAACAGCTTAACCCAAACCCATTACTAATCCCATGAGCCATGTGTTCCCTGAGGATTTAGGAGTCCAGTTGTGATAGACAGCACCTCAGTTTGCTTCCCTGTAAAATGGAAATGGTGCTACTCTCTCCACTTGGTCATGGATTTAAGACCTCCTTCATTCCCGGGTAAAATTCAGCTCTGTGCAGTCAAGTAGCGTATATTGTGGGACACCACAGTTCACTACCCAGCTGCACCGACTGACTCGTGTTCCACAGGTCACAAAATACTTTGAAGATGCTGAAAGAACAAGGTAAAGGTGTGCTATGGAAGGTGAGTGCTTCAAACCAGGTACAGGTGTTCTGGGGAAGGGGAGTGTTTCTACACTTTCTTATCCACCCTTTCATTTCTTGCAGTCACCTGCTTCTCTGTCGCCAAACTCCTGTGCCTTCTCTCCCGGAGCAAAAAGGGAGAAAGGGCTGGAGTTATCAACGGGGTAAAGGGACAGGAGGCGTAGGGTGAAGGTAACTGCCATGGGTTATGTAATCTCTCTCTTCAGCAGCCTCTTTCTAGGTTCA